GGAAAAAGTTTCTCCACTCTACTTTGAGGTATAAATTTGACTATTTACCATAACAATGTAAAATGTAAACATCTCCATACTTTTATTCTTCCTGAACATCTCTGGAGGAATGCAATGGAAAATTACTATGAAATTATTTTCCTCAATGGTCATATTGCTGTAGGTACAGGAGTTGTTTGTTCCAGGGCCTTGGCTCTTGTTGCATACCAGGACAGGATATGATCACCAGAAAGACTGCTCTGAGACATCCTCTTCTGAGTTCCAAGAGCAAAAGTCTTAATCTCAGCACTTGGGAGGCAGAGGCAAGTGGAACTCTGTTCTACTTAGTGAGTTTGAGGCCAGCCAGAACTGTTTAGTGAGACACTCTTAAAAAACAAAAAAGATTAATGTGATATGATACCAACACAGAGAAAAGATGTGACAAAACCTTGCACTATTCATGATTCGGAAACAAAACAACTCCCAGCAAACTAGTACAGAAACTTCTTCCGTTCCTCATTCTGATAAAGAATTCACTACACAGACGGCTCAGCAGATACAAGAGCAGTGGCTGCTCTTGCGGATGGCCTAGAATGAATTCTCAGCACACGTGGTAGCTCTCAACCATCCATAACTCAAATTCCAGAGGATTCTTGTGGTGCACGTGTGTATGTATATGTGTATATATATATGAGTGTATTTGTGCATGTATATACATGTGTGTTTGTATGTATGAGTGTATATGTGTATGTATATATGAGTGTATTTGTGCATGTATATACATGTGTATATGTATATGTGTGTGTATATATGTGTGTATGTATGTATATGTGTATGTATATATATGTGTGTGTGTGTGTGCATATGGCCCGAACTCATAGAGATCCGCCTGTCTCTGCCTCCTGAGTGCTGGGATTAAAGGCATGTGACACCTTTATATTATATATAAATATATTACTATGTATATTATATGTTATATATATATATATTTTTGGATTTTCGAGACAGGGTTTCTCTGTAGCTTTTGGTTCCTGTCCTGGAACTAGCTCTTCTAGACCAGGCTGGCCTCGAACTCACAGAGATCCTCCTGCCTCTGCCTCCCCAGTGCTGGGATTAAAGGCGTGCGCCACCACCGCCCAGCCTGTAATATATATTTACAGAATATATTTTTAAAGATATATATATATATATTTTAAAAAGAACTTATTCCTATAAGTGGTACCAAATGATGAGGTAATGGTAAATTACAAAGAACTATATGAAAACATAAGCTCTGGGACAGGCCTATAATCCCAACTAATCAGGAACCCAACTAATTAGGCGGGGGGGGGGAATCATAAATTCAAGGCCAATTTAGTGAGACACGGGAGTGACAGGGATATGGGGACACAAGAAAGGACCAGGATCTGGTGAATGTCACAAGAAAAAGCCCTGAAGATGGACAAGGAAGGAAAGACTGACACAGAAACAGAGTGGGGCAGGAGATCTGGTAAAGCAGCTGTTCCCGTTTCCTAGAGGACAGCGCCCCTCTCCCTGCCCAGTTAAACATCTGCATCCTCGAGAGGACAGTGCCCCTCTCCCTGCCCAGTTAAGCATCTGCATCCTCTAGGGGACAGTGCCCCTCTCCCTGCCCAGTTAAACATCTGCATCCTCTAGGGGACAGTGCCCCTCTCCCTGCCCAGTTAAACATCTGCATCCTCTAGTGGAGAGTGCTCCTCTCCCTGCCCAGTTAAACATCTGCATCCACTAGCACATCTCTGTCACCTGTAACTAGAACGAAGTGTTATATTGAAGTCTGTCGTACATTGTAATAAACATTTTGTAAAAGTAATAAAGCTGGCTAGTGGTGGCTCTCGCCTTTAATCTCAGCACTCAGGAAGCAGAGGCTGGCGGATCTCTCATTTCGAGGGCAGGCTGTCTTCAAGTGAGTTCCAGAACAGTTAGGGCTACACAGAGAATCCCTGTCTCGAAAAGCCAAAACAAAAAACAAAAACAAAAAAACAAAAACAAAAACAACTGAAAGTAAGTAATGAGGCTGGGCTGAAGCAGGAGAATTACAGCAAGTTTGCAGCCAGCCTGGCCACTATCTAAACACACCAACCAAGCAAACAAAACCCAGAAGCTCTTGGGATATGGGGTAGTGTAGAGTTCTGGCCTACTGCGTGAAAGACCCTGAGTTTGTCGCCACAAAAGGAGATGAGGAAAAGAACATTTTAAACAATATTTAAAAAATTGTTTTTATGGGGGGCTGGAGAGATGGCTCAGTGGTTAAGAGCATTGCCTGCTCTTCCAAAGGTCCTGAGTTCAATTCTCAGCAACCACATGGTGGCTCACAACCATCTGTAATGAGATATGGTGCCCTCCTCTGGACTGTAGACATACAAGCAGGCAGAACACAGTCTATATAATAAAAAAATGAATCTTTAAAAGATATTTAAAAAGTAATATCTGTATACAATATTTAACTGTCTTCTAGCAATGTTTGTTTCTTTTCTATAAACTAATAAACCATATACTTATATAATAAATTATATGGTTCATCTATGAATTAATTTAACTTGAACAACTTTTATAGTTTTTTTATTTCAAATATTTATTTATTTATTTATTATGTATACAATATTCTGTCTGTGTGTATGGCCTGCTGGCCAGAAGAGGGCACCAGACCTCATTACAGATGGTTGTGAGCCACCATGTGATTGCTGGGAATTGAACTCATGACCTTTGGAAGAGCAGGCAATGCTCTTAACCACTGAGCCATCTCTCTCCAGCCCAACTTTTATAGTTTTATATCTATTTATTTTGTAGAAGAATTCGACAACATTTACCAGTGTTGGGTATTTGAACCAATAAACATTACAAAGAGCTGAACAAAATTAAAACAAACAAACAAACAAACAAAAAAGCTGAACTGAAAAATGCAAAGCATTTTCAAAAACAACAGACATGAGAAAATGTTGAAAATATGACGACATCGGGCTGACAAGATAGTCTCCAGGTGAAGGTGCCCACTGTGATTTGAGTTTGAGAACTCAGGAGCTGCACGGCAGAGAAACAAGACCCACAGTTAGTACTCTGGCCTCCATGGTGTCCAAGGCACACTCCTCCCCAAAAAACAGTGATTTCAAATTCAAAAAAAAGTGTGAGTGGAGGGATTCTCGCTGACTGGAGCATGGCAGACATGGTTCTGCCAGGCCTTGCCCTTCCCCATTTCCTAGGCTTCCCTAAATCCATTAGCTCACCATTCCTAAAGCAAGCCCCCTAAGGTCTGTGCCCTTATTTCGCCACTCCCTCCTCCTGAGGCTGACTACCAAGTTCCAGCTATCAAATCATTGAAGTCGAGCAATCCAAAGCCCCCTTTGGCTGACCTAATTAATACGTCCAATCAAACTTAAACACCTCATCCTAACACAGGGTTTCCCTTGTACCTTTATAAACTGCCTTTTGCCTAGAGTCACACCCACCTCCTCTCTATCCAGAGCAGTCCTTTGTCTCTCTCCTGGACAATATCCCTCCCTCCTCTCCCTTGTTCCCCTCCCCTTCTCCCTCATCCTCTATCTCCTGTCTTTGTCTTAGTCCCTGCCCTCTGTCCCTCTAGGGCGAATAAATCTCTGTGCTGAGAACTTGGTCTTGGGGTCCAGAACTAATACCAATCTCTTACAGTGGGTATAAGAAGTTTTCTTTCCTGGGTGGTGGTAGCATGGGCCTTTAATCCCAGCACTTGGGAGGCAGAGGCAGGTGGATCTCTGGGTTCAAGGCCTGCTTAATCTGCCTAGTCAGTTTCAAGGAATATGCAGAGAAACCCTGTCTCAAAACAACAACAAACAAAAAAAAAACAAAAACAAAGAAAAACAACAAACAAAAAGGTTTCTTTATAGCAAGACTATTTATTATACAAAGGTCTGCAAGACAAGTCACACAGGGAAGAATGCATTCGAGGAATCGATCGATGTCCCTCGCTTTAAGAAACAAATAAGCAGGACTGGGGTCTACATGTGTTTTCCTGGTGGCAGATGCTTCTGGACAGAGAGACAGCAGAGGGTTGGGGGAGGAGAGGGCTTTCATAGGGTTTGTGGACCATAACACAGTGCACTAGTAGAAAAGTTCGGTGGAGCTGGAAGTATTGCTTGGCTACCAACTTTGAAACATTGTTTGGCCAGAGAGTCACGGGATTTTCAAGTCTTGGGGCTAGGAGACAGCAGGGGCAAGGTGTTCATTTGTTGGCCATGGTTTCTGGCTCGAGGGTCAAGTCAGAGGTAGGCTGTTCTTTCCGTGGTCTCTTTCCTGCAGTGTTGTGATTCTAGAGCATTTGCTTAGTATGTCCAAAGCCCTGAGTTCAATCCTAATCACCATCAAAACCCAGTAATTTACCAGACAACCTATATAAATAGGACTGTCACAGGAATCCATTTAGGTTTTTTTTGTTTTTGTTTTTTTGGGTTTTTTTGTTGTTGTTGTTGTTTGTTTGTTTTTTCGAGACAGGGTTTCTCTGTGGTTTTGGAGCCTGTCCTGGAACTAGCTCTTGTAGAGCAGGCTGGTCTCGAACTCACAGAGATCCGCCTGCCTCAGCCTCCCAAGTGCTGGGATTAAAGGCGTGCGCCACCACCGCCTGGCTTCCATTTAGTGTTTTTACAACCAGAAAAACCATAAAAATGTTAGGGCTCACCAGAAGGTGGTGGCGCACGCCTTTAATCCTAGCACTCTGGAGGCAGAGACAGGTGGAAGGCCAATCTGGTCTATAAGAGCTAGTTCCAGGACAGGGTCCAAAGCTACAGAGAAACCCTGTCTTGGAAAAAAAGAAAAGAAAAATGTTAGGGCTGGGTATGGTGGCACAGGGCTATAAACCCCAGCACCGGGGAAGTGGAGGCACGAGGATGAAATCACACACCGTTAAAGATTTAAAAAATAAAAATAAAAAAGCCTTGACCACAGGAAGGCATGTCCTCGCAGACAGCGGCCTCCGGAGAAAAGACTACGAATCCCACAAGGCTCTGCGCCGAGAGTGTTCGGTCTCCCGACAGGCCTCGCGCGCTTCACCCGCCAGGTTTTGCCTGAGCCCGCGAGCGTCTGGTGATGGAGAACCCAGACGATGCAGCGGACGGCAAACAGCGCGTCCACTTGCGCTCTAGCTCGCTGCGTGGCGCCGCGCCGGCTACGCTGCACCTCCTGCCCTGCGAGGTTCCGGTGAGCCGGCCCGCTCCGGTGGAACGCTTCTTCACGCCTGCCGTTCGCAGCGGTGCAGACGGTGAGTCCCGTCAGGCCCAGCGCAGGCCACAGCGCTCACGGGCTTGGTGGTCCGCGGGAGAAGCCGCCAGCCCGTTCCCCGGGGCCAGGCCCGCCTGATGGGCTTTGCGTGTTCCTCCCGCAGGGCTGCAGGTGTCGTTTCGGGGTCGCTGCCTGCAGGGCGAGGAGGTGGCTGTGCCTCCGGGATTTTCGGGATTCGTGATGGTGACGGAGGAGATGGGAAAGGGGCTGATAAGGAAGCTGAACTCGGGGGACGCGGAAGACAAAACGAACAAGGCGCAGGAACCGCTAGCGCGCGATTTCGTGAGCAGAGGGAGAGGGTAGACTCGGGACGAGGGTCAAAGCCGCGGTGCCGGTTCTCAACTCGGCCTTTCCTAGGACCGCTCCATCGGAGCCACGGGCAGCTTTAGCCACTTCACACTGTGGGGTCTGGAAACGGTCCCCGGTCCGGATGCCAAAGTGCACAGGGCCCTAGATTGGCCCAGCCTCGCTGCAGCGGTGAGTACACATACGGGCCCTTTTCTCCTCGGTCCGTCCTCCCACCCGGTTTGAGTCGTCCGTAGTGATTTTGGGCTTTTTAGGCAGTGAGCACCATGGGAACCATGACTCTAGAGGACCAGACTGCGGAGTGGTGGGAGGCACTTCCATCTCCGTCGTCCGGGCTTCTTAGAAGGAACTATTACCCTGAGTAGCTGGGTCCCCACCTAAATGCTTTGTATTAAAAGTCACGTAGTCGAAGTGACTCCTGTTGCAGATTCACGCACAGGTGCCTGAGGACTGAGAGCCAGAGCATGAAAACGGAAGCCACGGATCCCTTCACACCAGTAAACCAGCAATAGGTTCACTTTGGAGCCACTTTTTCTATCCCAATAAATGAGCTCTTCCTAGCACCTGTGAGTCTGTGGGCACCTTAGCACCTGGAGGCTGGCATGGTATGACACCCAGTCGGGCAAGAACTTTTGATAACTCTGCATATATAAACAATTTATTGCTGGGGGCAAGAGGGGCCAGAATTTTACAACCAGCAGCCACCCCACCCTCCAGCTGCTCCTTTACAAAAGAAATGTTTACAATCACAGTCCTCTGTACAGAGCGTTCCCACCGGCTCAGTGTACACGGCCACCTGGATCCCTCTGGTCCCTGTGTTCAGAGCAGACCTGGGCCCATGAACCAGCTAGCCCTGAGCTGGCCTTGGTACTGTCCACTAGTTGGCCCCTCCTAGGCCTCTCCTTTTGGAGCTGTCCTCAGCCCTGTCTCCCTTGGCGTGCCTCTCGGAAGGGATGAGAGCCTGTAAGCTCCAGTTCTGCCAGCTCTCAGTGTTGCAATGGGCAGAGCCTGGTCACCACTTTCCTCTCTTGCTCCAGTCTTTGGGAGTGAAGTGCAGACACTTGGAGTCAATTCGAAGGAGACGCTTGAGCATAGCCCGCTCATGGCCATCCACGATGTCCTCTGACAGAGTGAGGATATACTGGCCCTAGGCAAGAGATAGACCCAGCATGTGGTCAGCGCATAGGGTCTGCCACCTGTACCCCATTCAGTATCCCCTTAGGTGTCTCCTGACCTTGTAGTAATTGATGAGATTGAGATACTGTAGTGTGGAGATGACGTCTTCTTTCTTGATACTGGTGATTTCACTGATCTCACTGTGGGAGGGAAAAAGTTAGGTCCCCTGAGGGTATCATCTGTCCCCAGGAGCCCCAGGAACAGACAGGCCGTACCATGCACCCCCAGCTGGGCATTCAGGCTCACTTGATGGTGATCTGTGGCCTCTCCCCGCTCTCCGACTTCAATCCCATCAGGATCTCCAAGATGGTCTGGGACCAGTAACTTCGATAGGATAAGAGGCCAAGATCTGACAGGGGCTTCTCAGGAGTCCCTGTCTTTCCTTCTACTTTAGAGAGCTCATAGCCTAAAGCAATGGAGCACAGAGGCTGAGTAAGCATCAAGGTATGCACAGGTATAGGTAAGAGCAGATACTGCAGAGCTAGGCTGCCTGGTTTCTGTCTCTCACTTACTCTTGGTAATGGGTGAGTAGCCTCCCTGCCTGCTGAGTGGGTAGAGGAGCTTAGGCACCTAGAAAGCAGCTATGACTGGGTACTTGCCAGCCAGTGGAAGCTGGTGAGATGAAAGTGCTAGATTCTCCTTTGCCATCCCAGCCTGTGTCTGGGGGCACTGGAAGGGTGGTGAGGGAGGCCTTTGTGACCTTAGGATACTGGAGCCTTTTCAGGGTCATCAGTTTCTCTAGCTGTGATCCTGGGAATGTTAGTGCTTTTAAAAATCCAGAGGTGCTTCCTCGGAGCCAGGTAACTGACCTCTGTAACTGTCCTTTCCCTCTTGTGTTGACTACTGGGCAGGCCAGACAGTTCACAATGAGACCTTTAGGAACCGCAGAGCTGACAGTTCTTTACTCTCTTGTCAGGGCCCTGGGGATGGCCCTGTTGGTTTGGAGAAAGCCTTCCTTACCCTCAGCTATACCTCCAGCCTCTTAATGGTTCTTGACATTCTCTGCTCCTAGCTACATCGCTGTTGGCCAGTCTTTGCTCAATCATCCCTGGACAAGATGGATCAGAGAGGCTGGTGTCTGGAAAGGCAGCCAGAAGTGCAAGAGGGTTTCCTACTCAGCCCTCCTGGATGCACATGTGTATGGTCCCATGAACCCATTAGATGCCATACTTTCCTCTAGTTCTGAGTTCCTGACCCTGTTCAGTGATTGCCCCTCCCTGTATCTGTCTCATGGTACTTCTATGGTCAGTCCCCCGAGTTTCTAGAGAAAGTAATTCCTAACTTGAAACCACCCAACTAAAAAATACTCCAAACAGATCATGACTTTCAACAAGTAAAGCATCTGTGTTTCACCATCAAAAAAGCTAACCCTTCTTCCCTGACTCCTAGATCAGAGAATATTTGAGAGAATGGGATGGGGTGGATGGGGTTAACACTAGAAAACAATGTGACTGCAGAGTTAAGAGCCTGTGCGAAGGGGCCAAAGCTCTCCTGGGCTTTAAAAGACTAGTGTGACAAAGAACAGGGGCAAACTCATCCTTTAGTGGGTTAAACAGCCTTTGCACATGTGCCTGCAAGGCTCAGGGGATACCCGGTGACGTAACCGAGAACGTGTTCCAGTACACACCTATAGATGAGCATGAGGAGCTGAGCTGCTCCACATGAGAACAGATGATTCCAGCTTGGAAAAGTATGGGAGTACTTAAACCTTTAGCCAAAGAGAAGTGAGGGTTTGAAACCTCCAAGGAATAAGGCAGTTACTCGAGGAAAGAACTTGGGAAAGTGACCCTTTCTTTCTGGCGGCTCTTGGTGATGGGCATGCCTGCATGTGACGCAAAGATGATGAGCCCGTCAGCCCCCAGACTCCAATACTCACTGAACTCAATAAGCAGCTTGCCATAGCCCCGGCGCTGGTACGGGGGCAGAGTCAGGATGCAGGCCACATTGTAATCTTCCGTAGATTCCTTCTCCTGAAAGAGGGGTGAGTTGTAACAAAGGCCTGGCTTGGGCATGGCCGTCCAGGCACAGCTGGGGTGAGTGCTGACCTTGGAGAAGTAGCCCACAATGTGGAAGCCCTTGCAGTCGTACTCCGTCATCACATAGAAGAGGAAGGGGTCTGTGTCGTAGTACAGCGTCTTGTGGTCCAGGAAGCACTTGGCCAGAAGACACAGGTTTTGTGAGTAACTCTGTAAAGACAAAGGCCGGTCAGTCACTACTCTGGGTAAAGAGTTACGCTTTGTTTGGTTTTTTGAGACAGGATTTCACTGTGTAGCAGCCCTGGCTGCCCTGGAATTCACTTTGTAGACCAGGCTGGCCTCAAACTCATGGCTATCCACCTGCCTCTGCCTTCAGAGTGCTGGGATTAAAGATGTGCGCCGTGTGTAGCACCACCGCCCAGCAAAGAGGTACATTTTGTTGTGGCATATGTGGCTGTGGCTGCAGGTGCCCATAAACCACCACATGCATGTGGAAGTCAGGAACCTTTCGGAAGTCCATTCTCTCCTTCTGGTATGGGTTCTACAAAGTGAACTCAAGTGCCCAGGGTTGTGTGACAAGGACTTCTACCCATTGAGCCATCTCAAGAACTCTGGGGAACACTTCTTTGTGCTGCTTCAACTTGACAAGTGATGAGCTTCCCTCCTAGGACCCTGACCCCACCAGTCAGGCCATTACCACTGTTTAAGTAAGGGGCCACCTCCTCCCCCAGCTGTCCTGGAACTCACTCTGTAGACCAGGCTGACCTCAACTTCAGAGATCTGCCTGCCTCTGCCCTCCAAGTGCTGGGATTAAAGGCGTGCGCCACTGCTGCCACTTAAGTGTCCAGGAGCATGTGCCTAGCTGCCTGCCCCTAGGTGAGCTACACAGCTTCCTGTATACCCAGCAAAGCCTGCCCTGGGCCAGCATTGCCTTCTGTTCCACTTAACAATAGTCAAAAATGTTCCAAGCCAGGCATGGTAGTGTATACTTATAATCTCAGCACTCGGGAGGCAGAGGCAGGCTGTAAGTTTGAGGTCAGTCAGCTAGGGCTACATAGTGAGACCTTGTTTGTCTGTTTTTCGAGACAGGGTTTACCTGTTTAGTCCTGGCTGTCCTGGTACTCATTCTGTAGACCAGGTTGGCCTCAAACTCAGATGTCTGCCTCTGCCTCCCGAGTACTGGGATTAAAGGCTAAAGTGGGTGTCATCTGCCTGCCCACCTCCCCTTTTAAAAAAATTTCCCCATGGAGTTAGCCTCAAATTCAGTCTCAGAACACATGGCTGTCCTTGGGTGTCAAAAACCCTCTTGCTCTAGCCACAGTGATGCCTCCTGAGAACTGGTCTGGTATTCTCCAATGGAGGGTTAAGAAAATGCCAGCCTTGGTGGTTCTTCCTGCAAAACTTTGGACTGGCTGCTTTACTATACACACGATTTGTAGGGTAATATTCTAGATAGCTTTACTCTTAATACACATTAGTGTGGCTGGGTGGTGGTGGCGCACACCTTTAATCCCAGCACTCAGGAGGCACAGGCAGGCAGAGCTCTGTGAGGCCAGCCTGAACTATAGCACAGCCAGGAATACCCAAACCTGCTCCTCCAATGATCTTGTTCCTGCTACCTGACCTCTCACCTTCAAAGTCTTGCTTTATCCCCTCTCCCTTCCCTTTTATTTTTCATGTATACTGTCCTAGCATGTCAGACAACTACTTAGAATTGCCTTAAAAAATGTTCTCTCCTGGGCTGGAGAGATGGCTCAGAGGTTAAGAGCACTGCCTGCTCTTCCAAAGGTCCTGAGTTCAATTCCCAGCAACCACATGGTGGCTCACAACCATCTGTAATGGGCTCTGGTGCCCTCTTCTGGCCTGCAGGGATACACACAGACAGAATATTGTATACATAATAAATAAATATTTTAAAAAAAATGTTCTCTCCTTCATATTCAGGCTCATAGGTCAACCTAGAAACTTTTTCAAAATAGGGCTTCACTGTATACCCCTGGGTGGCCCAGAACTCCTACAGACCAGTAGACCGCCTGCCCCTGCTTCCTGAGTCTTGGGATTACAGCATATGCCACCAACCCATCTAAAATCTTTTTTGTTTATTTGGTTTTGAGAAAGGGTCTTAGTAGCTAGCCTTGAATTTCAAATGCTCTGGCCTCAGCCTCCTGGATGTTGTGATTACAATGCTAGGCTAAACTGTTCAAACTGCCTCTAGTTTTACATTTGACTTTTGCTACCATAAGTTGTTATCTGTTTTGCTCTTGGCTCCTCGAAACTAAGTCCTTCTTACTTTATAGCCCATGTTGGCTTGGAACTCATTATAGCTCAGGCTGACCTGGAACTCAGGAGCTTTCTGAGTGCTGGGATTATAGGCATATACTACCTAGAGTTCTGGTGATAACTTCCTTTGAACTCTGCTAACTTATGCTTCGTTTCACGATACTTCTCCATTGGGATCTGAGTAGCCGTGGTGTGTCTGCTTCTACCGTCAAGTGACCTATCAGAGAATAGCTTGTCTAAATCTTAGTGTCTTGTGCACTCCCACCGCCCCTGCTTTACACCAGGAATTCAATGAAACAGGCTGAATCAGAGTGGTCAACTGTTCTGAGCAAGAAAAAGTTGTTTATGTGGCTTATTCTAGGCCCTACTGCCCCAGCCACTAACCTTGTTTTTCCGTCCATCAATCTCAAAAAAGGAGATGGTGCCCTTGCGGTAAATTTCATTGCCTGGAGGGTGCCGAAGGTCACATTTGGTCTAAGGACAAAAGGAGGATCAGGCGGGGACTGCTGTGGGCATACGGGAGAGGCAGGCCTCCCAAGACCACTCATACCAAGTGGCGCTGTAGACACTTGAGGCTACGGCCATATTTGAGGCAAAATTCGCACAGGTAGAGGACAGGCAGTGTGGTGAGCTCTTGTGGGTACGGGGAGAAGTACCACGGCTTGAGGCGATGCCGGCCAAGCTCAATACACTCAATGTTCTTCATCCGGGTGACAATGTCGTCGTGACTCCGATCAGACACCAAGCTGCCAGTCATGCGTGGCGCTGATGGTATTCCATCTGAGCTGTCCTGAGAGTCCTGCCCAAGGCAAGTTGGAAGTGGTAGATTATAGCAGACAGTTAAGCAGAACATGGCTCACAACCCTGCCATAGATTTCTTCAAACCTAACGTTAACTAAGGGGAAAGCATCATAATCCTCTTATCAAAATAAACCAAAACTGAGAAACTGATATGATGAAAATCACCTAATGGCTAATCTGCCAGGCTCTTACCTCATCACCATCTACTGCCTACCACCTCGTTTCTGGTTTTGGTTTTTTCCTCCCTCAAGACAAGGTTTCTCAGTACAGATCTGACTGTCCTGGAACTCACTCTGTAGACCAGGCTGGCCTCAAACTCAAGAGATCCGCCTGCCTCTCCTGGGTTCTGGGATTAAAGCATGTGCCACCACTGCCCAGCTTTTATGATTTTAAATTAGTCATTGAATGAACTCTCCTTGCCCAAGTCCATTCCCTTCACCCAGCTTTTCTCTTCCTCTGTTCTTTGATACCCACCTCATCAGTTCCCAAGCAATTAGACTTCCTCTTCCGTCCTGGCTGTGCTGCCACTGCCCTACGGGCTGATCCATTCTGTGAATGAGACGGAAGAGAAAGGATGAGCATTAGACGAGCCTGAAGGAGGGCGCTAGACTGAGAAAAGATGAAGGGGTAAGACTGGAGGGGCTGTCAAGGCGGCTCCTCTTCAGAGGACATGTGTTCCCTTCCCAGCATGTATGGTGGCCAAACATCTCTAACTCCAGTTTCAATGGACCCAGTGCCCTTTTCTGGCCATGGCACCAGGCAGGCAAATGGTGCACATACAAAATGCAGACAAAACACTCATACACATAAAAATAAATCTTTAAAAAACGAAACTGTAAGACACACCTGAGGGAAAACTGAGGCTGGGGCTGTCTCGCTGGGCACTGGAGTTGCTGGTGAAACCACTTCCACCTTCCGTTTCTGCAGAGAGAAACCAGGAAAGGTGGGTCAGAAGGTAGAGAAGGTGGGACCTGAGAAGAAAGCAAGGTCCCTGGAATTGCTGAGGGTACCGTTGAGCGGTGGTTGGGTTGCAGGCAGGAGCTGGAGGAGAGCGGCTGGTCAGGCTCGCCACCGGGAATGGCCTCCCGCTCCTTGGGCAGGTTGAAGCGGAGTGTGATCTGGACCGGGATTGGCAAGGTCTTCCCGCTGGCCTGGGCGGAGGCCGGCTGTAGAGATAGGTCCAGTCTTCCTCTGGGGTGGGGATGGTGGGATGGCGAAGGGGCAAATGGGCCCCTCAACATGGAATGGTCAAAACCCACCC